TGCAAGGCAGCAGATCTCGCTACGGAGCTGTTATGACGTACATGGGGTAAGAGGAAAGAAACCAGATTTGTAATTTCCTCCTGCCTCAAAGTACTCGGTGACACTGGATCAGCAAAAGCTTTCCAAATAAGAACATCCCGGTATCGCGGCATTGCCGCATTACAAAGGAGTCGCCTCTGCCAGCGGGAAAGTGCTTTTCTAGTTGATCTGCACGGTCACTTGCACTCACGCAGGGGTTGTGAGATGGCTCAGTCCCCTGCGGGGGCCCTCAACAGGGATGGCAAAACGAGAGTATTTCCTGGTGCCTTCACTGCTGCCACAAACACACCCTCGCCAGCAGAGCCAGGCAAACATCACGGGCCAGGAAACAGGGCAACGCTGGTCCTCATCCCCTCCTGCCCGCGCTGCAAGAGGGGCAGTAGGACACGGATGGAGAGCTGGGCGCGCCAACAGCAAATTCGAGAGTGGCAGGGAGTGGGCAGGTTGCTCCTGACTGCCAGAGCTGGCACTTTGCCTCTGGTTACTCACTCCTCTTCCCCCGAGCCCAGCCCCAGCCGATGCCTACCCGGATCCCACACAAGCTGGTGCCGGGCGAGGCGAACAGCGCCTGCTTCTGCGAGTCACCTGCTTGCCGCGGCTCTGGAGAGCACTGCACCGGCCAGGGCCGCAGGGAGGAGGACGGGCAGCAGCTCGCAGGGAGATCAAGGCAGGAACACAAGGATTCAGGCACTGGGGCTTACGGCTAACGCTGTTCCCTAACGCTGCGCTGACGCAGAGCCTCAGGTCAGTCTGAAGCCACCGTCCTGCAGGCTTTGCATTCCCCCAGGCTGAGTTTGGGACACCGCTCTCACAGCGACAGCTGAGGCTGAGGGAATAAAAGCACTTCTTCCTCTGCTCTTTCAATCTGCCACTCTTCTGCTTTCAGGAGGAGACAGGACCAGACCAACCACCGGCAGAGCTGAGGCAGCGGCTGATTCTTGTGCAACAGCCACGCATTGGGGGTTCTCCCCTTCAGATTCGGTCACTGGGTGCGTTACCATGGGATACCACATCCAAACAGCAGTTGGACACAGCGCTCTTCTCGGCAAGAAAACAGGGTCCCCAGCTCTTGCTGCACCTGGGAAGGGGCAGGCTTGCTGCCACCCCTGCAGAGGCCACGCTTGCACAAGCCGCAGGAGCCATCACAGCTCCCGCAGAGATGCTTTGCCGGTCCTTTTTCACAGGATGCGCAACAGCGCGTGTACAAGCGACCTCCTACCCAAAGAGCCTTCGAAGCTGCGCTTCCAGGACAATGACCACAGCCCTTCCATTAAAGCAGAGCACTACGATTAAAAAAATCCAGATGAGCTTTGCCAATGCTTTCACAGAAAAGGAAGCGAGGACTGCACAAGCCAAGACCAGGACTAGGAAAGCTGCTGAATTCAACAGCAACCAGGCCTAATCAAGGCTGAAAGACAGGGCGCAGAGAGGCAGCTCTAGCCAGCATGACAGATTTATACCGCAAAACTGGAAATGTATTTTTAGAATCAGGCTGGAAAGTGTCTCTTCAGAAGGAGCTCAAGCATGCCACAGCAAGGTCATTATGGGATTTGCACGGCACCTTCAAGTACACGAGGACTGCTGGGGTGACTTCATCGCGTCATTAAACCTTTCCGGATACCAGCCTCATTCTTGCAGGTCTAACAAGCCTGGCGCAGATGGGATTATAAAACCTCATCCCCAGCCTGCACCGTGCGTCTCCGGGTCACGCCTCACGCTCGTGGTATTGCCTGAACCCAACAGCTGAGTCAGCAAAGGGAAGAGAACGCCCTGTCGGTGCTGGGCTACCCCCTGCTCTGCCAGGGAAAGCCCCCAGCAGGCTCCCTGTCAACACACTCCTGTCCGAGTCAACACACTGAGCTGCCCCACTTCTGCTTTGGGGGTGAACAAACGAAAACAAACCCAAACCAGCGTCATTAGCCCCCTGCTGGGCCAAGCTGCTGCCTTTCACTAGTGTTAAATCCATGCCACTTCCTACAGCTGAAAAGCTCGTTCAGTCACCTGCACCCCCCATCACACAAGGAACCGCACAGAAGAGAGCCGCCACGCACAAACCAGCTGCAGACAGCTGGCTGCTCAGTTCCAGATCCACTTCTGCAGATCTGGGCAAAACGTGGCAGCTGGAAGAGAGCCCACACTCACCTCATTTCCACACGCGCTCCCTTATCAGTTCCACGTACCTGCAGCGATTCCTCAGGGAACAGTCCTGTCCCGTCTCCTGGGTGCACCATCGAGGCCTCTTCTCATTCCAACAAACCTTCCAAAGCAGGTTAAGGCCACAGATCTCATTTGGGGCTCGTTTGGGCAGGTACAAGGGGCTGATTTAGGCTGGACACAAGCAGAGCTGTGATCATCTCAAAGCCAGCACAGTGCAACCTTCTCCCAGCTCCCAAATTTGCTGAGAAGCAAAGGCCTAAAAGTTCAGAGTGCTTCAGCCAGCTGGCTGAATCAAAAGGATCACTTTACCTTTAATGTGACCTTCACTTCACAGAGTACAAAACCTTCTATTTAATTGTTTATTACAGAACAGAAGCACGGTGTGGGCAGAACTCAAACAGGGAACCACAGTTAAAGGTACTGCTTTCAGTTATCTTGCATGTTGTATGGGAATATTTCCTCAAAGTACACGACCGACGCCATCCTGCTTTTGACAGTGGGATTTCTGTGTCTCAGGCATTTGAATGCCCACATTCTGCCCTTTTAAAAATGGGATTAACAAGCTCAGCTTGGGTCAAGAAAAGTCTGCCTGGGGCAGACTCCGACGGATTACCTTAGCATAACACTATCAGAGAAACAGCCAGTTCTGCTCAGACTGCGCATTTTTCTGTGCCGTTTCTGGTTTTTGGCAGGGGGATTGGAGGGGTGGCAGGGGGAGAGAACCGTAATGAAAGTGTAACATATCATCTTGATGGGACAGAGGCTTGAAGGTGGTTGTGAGTTGTGTACGTGCACAACTACTGGCTCCACACCAGCATCCAGTTGTGCCTGCAGCACTGGGCAAGTGCGGTGCGTTGTAGCTGTTTGCTACCGTCCAGTTCTCAGGCTGTTCATCTCTACATCACTCGTACTACTCGGCACCATTCGTCACGTCCTTTTCTGATTTTTCATATCCCCGTAGGCAGCAAGATCAGGGCCAGAGAAGACACGTCAATCCGATTTTGTGGAAGATGGAATCAAGAGCTCTTGACACTTTCAAAGAGTGCAGCCATTTAGTTACAAGTTCTTGCTCACGTTTCTTTCCTCGTGACTTCCTTGGGGCAGAGATCACTTAACCGTGTCTTTTGAACCACAACCTCGCCTTTGTTAACGTAGGGTTAAATATAAAACACACTGAGAGGTCACACCTGAAAGGAGCCATTCAAATCCCCGACTGGGATAACCTGCAGCCTTTTTCCAGTTTCGCCCCTTTTGTGATCTTGTGGACAATCCACAAGTGCAGAGCAGACACCTTACGTGACAGCAGAAAGGCCACTTCAAGCCGCCTCTCCCAGCTCTTGAAAACAAAGCAACAGACAATCCCAGAATTTCCATTTTTGAAAAGTGTTTACTTACGTAGTTTGAATAAATTAATTTGCAAATAAAAATTAAACTACAGTATACTATAGCCTGAATAAAATGATTAGAACAACTACAATACAGGGATTTCTTGCTGCATAAAGTTTCATTACTTAATGCATATAATCTGGAAAATGTCAAAATCAGTTATATTCTACGGAAAGGGAGTAACAGCAGTTACTTGTACATGACAGCTAACTGAACCTATAATACAGGTTTCCTGACACATGCATTTCCTGAGTGAACCAAACAATATATATCATTTCTTTTTCAAAATGGAGAAACAATGGACAAAGTAAATAATTCAGGACATCTAAGCAACATAGGTCTCTCTTTAAACAAAAAAAATTATAGAACAGCTTCAAAAGGAAAAACTAAAGCTATGCTATGAAGTACAGAAGTCTGTTACTGTCCATTATACAGTACATATTAAAAAAAAAAAAAAAAAAAAGGTGTGAAGCTGGCCGAAAAAGCTCAACTCAATCCTAAAGAAGGTCGGGTTGGGTATTTGCCATGAAGCAGTGGGTTAGCAGCAAAGCTGGACGTAGTGCACTGGCCTCTTCTGGTGGATACGAAGGGAAAGGAACAGAGCCGGGAGAGCGGAGAGACGAAGCACAAACCAGCGCCGGCGCAGCCCGAGCACAGCTCACACCAGCACCCCGCACCCAGGCTACGAGCCCCCAGCCAGTCCCCGCTCACGCTCTCCCCTGCCAGGCCGCCACTGTGACAAGTGGCACGAGGTCGCCGGGGCGCAGGCACACACCCCTCGGGCACCGGCCTTCGGCTCTGCTCCGCGTGGGGCCAGCAGGAAGGCAGGAGGTCCGACCCACGAGCCCGGCCCAAGGTGGGACCGTGGCCGACTCAGATTGCCCCCACTGCCCTCCAGCGTACGTCCACACATCCACCTCTCCCCGCTCCAAACAGCGAGGGACAAAACGAGCCTCGTCTTCCAGGTTTGTTCATGTTAGAAACCCTCACAAGTATCACTAATGCTAAATAAAGAGACGTGTTAGCGTGAAGGGAGAAAAAAAATCCTTAATCTAGACTAAGTTGCATATTCAAAGAGTCTGGTAAATGCTCTCCTCATAACCAGATCTTAAGTACAGTCCTACCAAAAAGACGTTTTAAGAAGTCCTCCGTTAGCTACCTTTCGACACGGTTAAAGCACCCCTTTATGCCATCGTGATTTGCATCAGCTTTGCTTAAAAAGCATTTTAACTACTCTAAGAACTCAGTATTTTAGATTAAAAAAGATTTTTCTACCATTTCCATCTCAGGTCCTTCTCCACCCAGAGCTACTCTACACATCCAATTGCTGGATGTAACACACTATGACCACGCTACTCTCTAAACATTCTACGTATTTTCAATAATAAAGATAAATAGAAAAGAGTTAATATACATGTTATATTTTACATTGTTTGCATCCAAGCTGTAAACTAATGTTCTTTGAACTATTTACCCTCCATATACAAAAGGAATGAAAGAGCTTTCAAACACTGTGGGCATGTGATTCAAAACTATTAAAGGGAAGGCATCGAAGTTCACTCTACATTTCCTTCACCTCTTCAGAAGTAGTTATTAACTAAAAAAAATTAAAAAAAAAAAAGCAGGAGTTTCCCCCCCGCCGCCCCCCCTCAGTTTCTTCCACTGTCAAACTTTTCTCAATAGAGAGGGATTTGGCTGTTGTAACAAAAACCCCAAAATTCTTCATCTTAATGCAAACCAGCAAAGCCCGGAGAATAAGAAAAACAGTTGGTTTAAAAACGAGGATCGCTTAGCTTATCAGTTTACGGCAGTCCTCGGCAAGGCGCGGGCTAGTCGAGAGGCCCCTGGAAAATGAGTCTGATGTAACCTTGCTCACCAGCCAGCTGATGCGCACAGAACGGACAGGCTGCGTGAAAAGTGTGAGTCCCGTGAGGCAGAGGGATTTGGGACCAATACGCCGTTGTCTTTTCCGAGCACACGTGTCCGCAGGGGCTGAACGCGTGAGTCGGGGGGCCCGCGTCCACGTAAAACCCCGCCTCGCAGCCCAGCCACAGAGGCACGTAGGGGCCGACGGAGCGGCACATGGGGCACTCGCGATCCTTGCCGTCCCTCTCCTCCTTGTTTCCCCAGTTGTGATAGCCATGGACGTGGCCGCAGTTCAGATACACCCACGGCTGCTTTTCGTCTACAACATCTTTTCTCTTCATGCTGGGGAAGGCCAAGGTGTTAAAGCCCACGGGACACTGGGGCCTCGCTGCGTTTATTTCCTGTCTCAGTGCCTCCAGGTGCTTGACGGTAGGAGTGCGCGAAAGCCCTTCTGCCGTGCGCCACAGCAGCGTTGCTCCACACAGGTCGATCAGAGAGCCGTCCTGGAGTTGGTTCGTTTCGTTCTCAACCTTGGGACGGGCAAAGAGAAAGAGGCGTCACCTAATGTACCCGAAGAGCTACATCATGCACTTGCATAATATAAATCTGCCCGAAGACTGAAACAAAAAGTTGCGAGCAGCTCCTGACTGTCCCACGCAGGATATCCCCAGAAAGCCCAGCGTCGGTTTCCCTCTCCCCTCTTTAAAAAAAAACACCACACAACAAAACAGGAATCCAAAAAACCCAACTCAAAATTTTCTTATGAAGAGACGAATGCACACATTAAACAAAAAAAGGCATGAACAGCTCCTCTCCAACCTTCACAACTTCCCTCAACTCCACCCCTACGCAGTCGCAGTCAGGCCACTTGCAATGCACGGAGGAGAAATGGCACAAGCCAAGCCTTGTTCACCCTCCTCAGCATTTGAGAATGTTCTCTTCAACCACACCTTGACACAGGGCTTTCCTCTCCTCCAGAACAAGTCAGCTGTCGGCACTCCCGCCTAAATGCATCGCATCCTAAGTGTTCGTGCAGCAATTCGTTTTTGCCAAGAGATCCCAAGTCATACCAACAGCCAACCATCCCCTGGAAATGTCACCAATGCTTTGCAGACAAGAGGGAAACTCAGAACGCCAAGGTGGAAATGGGTATGTAGGTGTGCAGGCATATGTCAATAAACCTACCATTATTCTTTAGTATTCTACAAAAAAGGAAAAGTGGGGAAGCCTTAAAAGCATAAACTCAGGAGGGAGAGCCAGGAAAATACAGTTTGAAGAAGGGCACAGCAGACTGGCAACTCGATTTAGGAAAGTACTCTAAATCTGCAATTAAACATCAGTTTGAAGATGAACCGTCAGTTCTTCAGGTGGAGCAAGACACCTTCACATATGAAAGAAGACACATAAGAAGCGAGTGTAACTAATTACAGAGATGACATCTACCCTGAACGAGGCAGTTTCCAGACTCTGCTTATGCCCAAGCTTTACCCCTTACGGTTGTACCCCTTTTAAACAGCTTGCATAAAACACTGGGCGCTTCTCTTACCATTTTTCCCCTCTGCTGAGCTGATCTGGTTTCCCGGAGGCTGAAAACATTCCCACACACAGATATCTCTCTCCACACCCCTGGCTTGGAATCTTCTGTAAATCCATTACGAGGATGCATAACGAGAACTCCGTTTGTGGTCAGGCCATCCATTTGCCCATCTGAGGTCTTCCACTTCGCAGCTTTCTCCTGAGAGAAATTACATCCGTGAAAACTTTACATTTGGCTCAAGCGGAGCTATGAATTAGTTTAAAGAATAAGCCTGCACTGCTTGAAGGAAAAAAAGAGAGTTGTCTTACCCCAAGAAAGATGTTTTTTGAGGAGTCAAATCCCGCAGCGTATATTCTTGCTGTAAAAGGAGGGTTACGTTCACAAATGATTCTGCAGGCAAACCTTGATATAGTGCTCTGCACAGACTGCGTATCGGAATTACTCTGACTTCCAGGAACTGTATCTGTCACGACAAAGTCTATGGGACTCTCCGTCGACCGACCAATCTGGAAAAAGGTTTAAAAAAAACCCCAAACATTACAAAAACCTGTTTAGAAGTTTGCTTTTGGGTCTAGGAATAATCAAACTCAAAACATTCAACAGTGAGCAAGAAAAAAGAATCATTGCCCTCCACTAATCTAAATTTAGGTTTCTAAAGCCTAATCTGAATTGACGAGTTATTCCACCTCCATGTGACCAAAGTTGTGACAAAGGCTGAGTAAAGCTAACCGAAGAAGGGGAAATAAAATGATGTAATTAAGTCAATTCTGAGATGATTTCCCATTGAAGGCCTTCTCATCAGAAGGGTTACAGTCAGGTCAGCCGGCCCAGCTGCAGCAGAGCCAGACCAGCCAGGAAACAGCAGCCAGATGGAAGAAGTGACATTCAGTCACTTTGTACGCCCAGAGCATTCTGAATGCTACCAGATTAGGTGAAGATGTAGATGTAGAAAAATCACATTACGTGAGCTGGCTCTCCAGCTCTGGTGCGGCACTGCGAAAGAGCAAATCTCTCAGGAAAGACAAGCTACGAGGTGTTTGTGGCGGGGAGGGGTGACACCAGCACGCAAGGAACACAGCAAGAATGCACCATCTGACTACCATCAGATTTTTCTACTGACTGGGCCTTCTCCTCTGGCTGCATGGAAGAATGAGTGCCCCAGAACTGTGCATGGAAGAATGAGTGCCCCTTAACCGTGCATGGAAGAATGAGTGCCCCAGAACTGCACCGGGTTTGACAGAATTGCATGGGTTTCACCTTTGCCTCACAAGGCAGGAAGAAAAAGCTGTATCCCCTTCCCAAACATCCACAGAGCCGGGCTCAAAGCCGACTCACACACTACTACCTTTCACTCCTTCCGGAGCTTTCAGCTGCTCATATTAAGACTGATTAGCTGCCGGGCAGGAGACCCAAAAGCCTGTGGTGCCTTTTGGTGGAGGCTGCAGAGCTTTCACGAGACTGAAACTGCTTTGTCAGGATGTGTTTTTCTCCTGCTTCTCAGGCAGGGTAACCCATGGGTACACAGGGACTGCCACCGGCGATTTCAGAGCAGCACACAGGCCACAGCACGCCTGAACAGAGAACACCTACACAAACAGCAGCTTAGGCTGCAGTTCGCTCGTTACAGCCCTTTTGCTCTGTTGTAGGTATGTGCAGTTGCACAGCAGCTTCCTCCACCACTTACTAACACCTCTCACCTCCTCAGATCCTCCGGTGGCGTCACGGGTAAATGCTGTGACAGCAAAACTCCTCGCCATGAATTAGTGACAACAAAAAAAAACCCCAAACCACATGCAGGATCAGTCTGAGAATCAGAAGGTACAAAGCACACGAAGGAGCCTTTCCCCCCTCCCCAAACAAAACCTTTCCTTTTTAGAAAAACAGGAAACAATTCTAAGATATCTGTGCACACCACAGCTGCAAACGTGTTTGTGGTTCCTCGTCACCAGACAGGAACTGCAGCAAAGCTGCTCTGAACTGCCGGCACATCCGAATCGGGCCCTCTCTCTCCCCATTTCCCAGTGCTTTGGGCTTATTTCTGGCTTTGCTTAAAGGAGTTGGGGGTATTTTTCACATTAGTTGTGTCAAAAGCTTTCCTGTATTTTCACACTGCATTTCTTCTACCCAGTCTCCAGCTGGCTGATCCCAAATCCCTTCATAAATGCCAAAAGCAAAGTTCCAAGTGCTCGAAGAGAACTGTGCCCCTTATTCTTCATTTTGCAAGCAGGGACTAGGAGACGGGCTACGTGACTCGCAGACCGGCAATTAAAAGCAAAACCATAATTCTGTGCTTTAGTCACAGAAAAAACAACTTTCACCTCTGACCAAGTCTACAAGAGCCGTACAAATATACAGCCTCGTTCATGTGATGGCCTTGGGAATGGGCAGAAGTAAACACCTCCCAATAGTAAAGTGCAGCAGGTGACACGGGCAAACTTTGCGGGAAAAGGCGTGTTTGAAAACCAGCAAAAGTGCGAATACATTTACATATCATATTTGCTTCACGTACCTGGAACATATCTGTGTTGCTGTCATGTGTGTATTCAACTACTACTGTCTGGGCCCGAGACAAAGTGTAAGATATGCTGTGTTGGTCCTTATTACTTATTGCCTATGGAAAAAAAATGCCAAATATTATTGAACCAGCAAACACAGCAGCAAAGCAGACAATATCTATATAACCAGGCTCTTGTTCTGCTCAATTAATGCCTCACAGCAGATGGTTGTTAGTGACACGCCTCTAGTTCAACTCCACAAAAACCAGTCCTGGCCATTAGAAAAAGCTGCAGGATTGATTCAGCAACAGACCAAGCTGGTCTCTTCGCCGCAAGCTGCAAGCAAATAGACCTCACCAAGACCTGTTATTAGTCATGCTTCATGTTAAAGCAACACTGGCCTTAACACAAAAGCACAAAACAACTCAGTGCAAACTTTAACACCTTCACGGCCTTTTCAGCCTGAACTTCCAAAACAGCAAAGCCAGGACAAAAACTTAATGACTTCATTCTGAAAAGGGGACCGGAGTTCATGCTAAAATCAGTGATGATTAGTAAGATACACAGACAAAGAACTGTAAGAAGTACTGGTGGTAAACAGGGTAAAATGGAGAAACGCAGCAGAGGCTGCAGAAGTTGTAGCAAAGTAAAGAAGGTCTCAGCTTGTCAGTCTAGATTTTCATTCTGCACCTCCATACCCAGAAGTGAACACACATTCTTCTAAAAGTGCTTCTAAATAGCATTTACTTGAAGACCATAAAAAAATCAGCAAAAACGTTCTTTTCACAGCTATCCTATAGATGGAATGCTATTACAAGAACTTTGGGCAGCAAAACGATTTTTTTATTTCAGAATACTTTATGCCATCTCCTGAATTTAGGAATCAATATTGTTAAAGCATCAAGGTTATTTAGGGAGTCAAACAACACTATTGTATTTAAGGGCTTGATCTTGACACTGGAGACCTCTGAACAACCACCAAGCATTCCCAGATTCCCTTGGTTTTAGTAAAAACGCTCCATTTGTTGTTGAACATAACTGCACATCCACTTGAATCGCCTCAACACAGAAGTATTTCATGGTAATCCCTTAGCTATAATATATTAGTTTTGACACGAAATATAATTTAACTTCAGGAGCTAAATCCTTCCCTTTATTCCTTCTTGCTGGGAACTCTGAAACTGCTTACAAGCCCTGTAAAACACACCCTGCAAAACCCACTTGTACTCAGCCCTGGGAAATTCTTACTCATCGGATGGAGTAGCGAGTGCACGCAGAGCTTTGGCAAAGGATCATTTAAAGTCACCTTCACGTGAAGCAAAGTTAGCCTTGAGCATGCCTGAGTGCAAAAACAGGAAGCCCATAACAGATGTGTGTAGCGAGGTTGGAAGGAAAACAACGTAGAAAGTGTTTTACTTGACTAGCCTGTGCCCCGAACATTCGCATTTCAAAAACAAACATTTTTCTTTCTCAACTCAGCAAGGACTGGGCACCAGATTTGTTTTGCTGAACAGTTTCTTGCTAACCCTGACAGGTACCAAACAACCTTGGATAAACATGTACCATTCTTTTCACAGCCAGAACTTCAGGCTTTTTACATCATTTCGCCTCAGTGTAACAACACTGACTTCACCGAACTCTTCAGACAGCAACAGGAGAACAGTTAAGACCAGCCAAACCCACTTACCTTTGCTGCTTGAGGGGTACAGGCAATATGCACAGTGCTAGGCTTCACCCCGTTTGCCTTGGGCCTTTTAAATAAAGCAAATCTACTTTTTCTTCTTCCTCTATCTCCATTTGGGAGAGACCCATTGTACCTATCAAAAAGTACAGAAAAAGAACAAAGTCCATCTTCCTTCCTTTGCTTCTCCTGAGGCAGACCTACAAGAACCTTCACTCTAAGCACAAAGTCTTCTTAAGTAGCATGGTATTAATAATTAGAGATTTTCAATTTGAGAAATTGATAAACACGATATTGAAATGGACCCACAGCACTACAGCATACACACACGGAGCTTCTCGGGCATGGAATGTTCCCCAGATTAATCTCAAAGCTACTACTGATGAGCAAAAACACCTCAGATCCCAAATATGAAAACAAGTAAGGTTCTACAGGCATCTGTAGCTTTATCTCTGAATGATGTGTCCACACTGCAGATGAAAGATTCTAAATACACATCAATCCTGGTGGAGAGCTAGTATTCTAGAGAATTTTGAGACTTCAATTTAATCCATCAAAAACCCCTCAGACTCACAATTTGAACATATCAACATAAACAGGCCAGCCAGCAAACTTGCTTTATTAAAATCTTCTCTTTGCACTTGGATATTACAGTCAGCTACTACGTTCTTATAAAAGGAGTTTTATTTTACTTAGAACGCTAGGGAACCTCTCCTTCCACATCACCATATTAGTCACCCGTCTCGGCCCAACCTGGAACCAACTATTCAGTTGCACGCTCCCTACATAAACTCCAAAGCAGGGAGTTCAAGTAGTAGGTTGTGGCACCATCCAAGAGCAACCTGCATTTCATCTAAGCGCACCCTGAAATTCCACCTTTATTCTCACTTCCTACCCCGACACAAGCACTTACCCTAATACAATCAATTCACCATATTTCACTGGTGCTTTTGATGGATGATTTTCTTGATCAGGAGAAAACATGAGCTTAGCTAATGACTTCTTCTCAAATTTCAGGTCTCTGATCAGGAGTTGTGGCACGCTTTTTTCATTATTTCCTGTAACAACAGAGAAAAAATTAAGTGTAAGAGAAAATACTCAAATCCATCAGTTACACAGACCCGAACACATATCTGAGACAGTAGGTACAATATTGTGTGTTTTCCATTTTTTTGGTTTTGCCTGAAATAATTTAAAAAACATACACGTAAACCAACATCAGTTAAGGCTGAATTGCCTGGAAGAACTACCGGATCACAAAACCTGTAAGTGCATTTAGAAAATTCCAGTTTGGCCTTGCTAAAACATTCACAGTTGTTTTCCTTCATGCTAGTTTTTGGTATAAACAGTAAGTAGCTTCATTTATCGTGTTTGGTTTGATTATCAAGAGCAAGATAGGGATTAAATTTAAAAAGAAACAAAGCAAGACCAGTCCATTAGCTTGAGAAGTAGCAGTTTTCACAGAAAGTATCCGACTCGGGGCCTTCCAGGCAATCCCTGGATTTGCAGACGGAGGGAAGCCGTACGACAATGTGACACGGAGTCTACTCCCCAGGTTTGGGCTGGGTGACGGGATCTCTCCTGCTCAGCTGGAGGGGGCAGTGACACGAACAGCTGGCTGAAGCAGATTTCCCGAGGGAACGCCACATAACCCTTAACGAGAACAGTCTCCTGACGTGCAATTTTTCATCGTAGACAAACAGTTCACACTAGCATTTCTTACAGCTTCTCCTTAGTAGCATTTCCAGACACCTCTGACCTACGTGACCCAACTCTGACCTTCCTGCAGAGGAAGCCGATGCCACTGAGCGCTTACCTCAAAGACGTGAGCTTGTCTGAGGCTTTCTTTAACAGACAGAAGAACACTCCCTTGGCTCTTCCAGGTGAAGTTTTCATACCAACTCAAAAAGCTATTAAGCATTTTAGCACTGATGGTTAACATTCTGCCTTCTGTGCAAATACACATTTCAGCCCACAGGACATTTCTTGGAGCCCGTCATCAACTTTGATGACAACTACAAGGCTGCATGGCCATTTTCTTCCACCTTCTACCTCTCTAAGGTACGGACTGGCAGAAAAGACACCGTGACACAGATTTTAGCCACCTAACAACAAGGATGTGGCAGTGCTTGACGCCCATTTCCATTCAGAGAGGCTGACGCAAAGACCCCTTTTTTACTGACCAGACCTCTACCCTCTCCTGGTGCTCTTTGCTCCTTCACAGAGAAGCCTGGCCTTGGTCATCTCAACCCATTTTTTTATTCAGCATAGAAATGCTGATCCCCACCTGCAATCGGCTCACAGGGCTCTCTCAGGATTTTCACACACTGTCCCACAAAGCTGGGAGGGCTTCCCACAGACCCACACCGAGACATCCTACCGCCCTGCAGGCTGTACGCACAACACAGCCAGGAGGCTACATCAAAACCTTTTTTTGTTTGTTCTCCTTTAATTTCTCATTGTTTTCCAGATCCCTTCTCCTTTGCTCTCAAGTCTGCGGATTTCACAGTGCTTGCAGTAAGTTACCTCAAGACCGTCTCTGTGGTCAGCACGCTGTAACGTTATCCCAACGTATCCCGACCCACTGCTGGATGGGGGAGCACGCCCCAACAAATCTGACCTGCACAGCACTACTCCAAAGTGTCTGCGTCCACCTCCACAGCAGTTACACCAAGAGGTTTTTGTTGCACAGGATGCAGTGTGTATTTTCACTAGGAGCTACCCTGGTTCAAGCCCTGGGGTATCCATCGTTTAGCTGGTGCAGAAAGTGCCTCATCCTGATCCGGCAGTCCCCGTCTGTCACGCAGAGACGGCAGCACAGGAGAGAGCAAAGCAGCAGTTTGCTTCAAAGCGTTTCTAGATTGCTGAGCCTGACGGAGCAGGAACTTAACTGGGATGATGAGGGCACTTACTGCTGTATGTGGGGCCCAAGGTTTTTCCCTTAAAATTCCACACTGAAGAATTTAAAGCAAACTTACAGGACAAAGTGACTTTAAATTCCTATCGTGCAAGCAGTCACAACACATCGAAGCGGATTTGCCCCGTATGACAAAGGGAGCCGCACAACATCAACCGGGTTCACGTTTTTCCTGTTTGCTGAGGCCATCTGGGGTCTTCCCTGCCTCCCGGCGCACCCCAACCCCGCTCCGGAGCACCACACCAGTGACTCTCTGAGAACACCACAGGGGTCGTTTATTGACATTAACGCTGAATTAGCTGGCTCTTACAGTTGAATAGCGCTGGGTTCTCTAGCCACACACCCTTTCGAAGGAATTTGTACTTAAGAAGTGAGTACAGAAGTGAGTATGAGAAGTATTTATCTGCATATAAAAATAAGGAGATGTATATATTTTCTATAAAGTATTTTTACTATCAACTGTATTTCTTGTTTTGCTTTATTTTAAAATCTTGTTGCACTATAGCTGCTTACATACTGCCTCCTAAAAAGAAGTCATGTTTTGATCTTCTCCCCAAATGATTAACCTACTCTTTACTTGAATACTGATCTCCTCAGCAGCCTTCTCCCCTGCACTTCAGTCCTCATCTGGGCCGTTGCATTTCACCTGCAATGATTCACATTTCATTGCTAGAATACACAATGAATTGACACTCACCAACTCAGAAGAAATACTGCTACGAAATCTACAGCACCACACACTAGGAAACAGCATATTATAAACACCTCTAGAGAAGGTGGGAAAGGAAGCATTACAAATAACTTTAATTTTTGTCGTTAGCACAAGGAAAGTTTTGGTACAACTTCTCCTCTGTTCCCCCAAGAAAACAATTCCATGGAAAGCTAAAAAACACGTCTTCCAGCCACAGAGTCAGCTTTCCACACTCATTAAAAAGTAATTACACATGAATAGTTAAAGGAGACTCTATAGAGCATCCTGACCAGGGAGGGTCAGGAACTCCCTCTTAGGAGATAACTGAGCTGAAACCACAAAAGGAACGAACAGTTCCAAGTGACAGACTTCAGCAATGCAAGAAGTTAACTAGAAAAATCTTAGGATAAGGAAAAGTGTCCGACATCTAACACCTGGCTCCCCCTTAATACGTTTTTCGTTTCACATTTTAAAGAAATCCAGACAAGTTTATTTTGGGACCAGCACATATGATGGAAACTCACTTCTTATTGGACTTAAAGAAGGTTCAAGAGTTTGAAATCTAGACTTATCACTAGTAAACCAGCCTGGTCATTTCTTTTTAAAAAACATGACTTGAATGTTGATTTTTATGTTTTTTTTTTTTAAAAAATACATCTCAAACTTTGTGAGCTGCACACATCACTTCAACATCTACTAAGACCATCCAGTTAACTTCAACTCAAGCACATACGAAATTCGGGACCCCTAAAAAAAGTAATCAGTGCAACATACACACTTCTCATCCCGTATAATCTGCCTGACGCACTGTACCCAAAAGGAAGACTCATTTCCTTCCCAGAAATAGCAAAGACAAATTATATTCTTCCAGTGAGGTCCTGAAGACTAGTCCAAGTGAAATTCACGTCTGCAAATAAAGTGAGTGTGGTCCCATTGGAGAGGAGTCTCAGAGGCCACGGGATAACATCTCCAGGCTTACGGATCATTTAAGGCTGGATAAAACATTTAAGAATCTAGACAAGGGAACATTCTGGAATTGAGAGGAAGGATCCACTAATGTAGGCAATGGGCCTTCTCTTGTAGTATCACTTGACCAGGTTTTATTCCTAGAATACTACAGGAGCCTTCCTGAAAGTGTGAGGAAGGGCTAACGAAATATGTTAAAAAACCAAGTTGGCCCTGAAGTGCTGGTGTACAGCTAAGAAACTGACTCCTCGAACAAAAGACACACAAGTCAGGTTATTTGCTGCTTTTGCAGCAGCATCTCTGGACACCAGCAGAGCAGGCTTCATGGGAACAGGCTCTGTTCGAGGGACTCTTCCAAACTCCTCCATGGACTCTCAGTGCTGATGAGCAGTAAGGTGTCAATGACACGATTCCCTCACCACACAGCATTATTCCAAAATCATCAAACTGGCAGCAGCAAGTTTTTCATGTCAAGGTCTCTGCTTCTGCTGCAGAGAAAAGACCAAAGCCTGAAAAATCCCTACTGGTGCCGAATCCTGTATGATAGGATGGAAAAGATTTTGTGAGTAAAGCAACTAGCACGCAGAAAAAAAGTGTTTCGGGAAGGCATTACTTGGGTAAGAGGTGAGCACAGCTGTTTGCAGTTAGCAAAAAACCACAGTGGGTACTAATTAGCATCTTTCAGTCTCAAAAAAAGGTAACTGGAACAGGAGGAACTCATGAACAAGTAAAACCTTTTTATTCTTAACACTGGTTCCTCTGAAGGCAGGAGAAGACTCAGTGAAGGCAACTTGGACAATACTGTCACGTGCAACCGTTTGGAGAGACTGGAAAGAGATGACACCTAAAGTGAAAAGGGTATTGAAAATTCGTGTTAGGAACGGAATCCAGTTCCTTACAAGCCTTCCTGCTCTTCACTGGAGCCACAGAAGCCACAGGCTGCTCTGGCAGAACCAAGCAAGCCACACGTTTCTGATCAGGCTCAAGCAGGAGGAGAAGCCACATCGTTGTACTCTCTCCTGCCACATTCCAACACCCATGTCCCAATCCAGAGGCAGACGGTTCTCTGGGAAGACCTCGCAAACCACGCTTCAGGGCCGATGGAAGAGCTGGAGTCTGTCCCCTTGTCACTGAACATGCCATTTTGCCTGGTGGGCACAGAGATACAGACGTTCTGGTGGCACCGTCAGCCTGAGCTGACCAGCCATCCTCCGTCACCCAGCTGCCTGTTTCCCACCTGGAGACGGGCACGCAGCCAGCCTGGGCAGCTGGCTACAGAAAATCTTCAGATCCTGTCTGCACCAAGGTACAGCACCTCCTAAGTTTAGCGGAGCACGCCCAGCTTGTGCAAGGACAGCAACAACAGCAGCATCTCAACGGTTAAAACGGGGGTGGGAGGAGGGGAGAACATAAATTCAATGAGCCCAAGCAGAGATTCATTAACCACTAGGCTGTGAGCTAAAAATACTAGAATAAAAGTCTCTTTGTAATAAATTACCATCATTTTCTAAACACAGAGCCAGCATTATAGGCTGCTAGCAACGGTAGCTAGTGCCAGGCTAGCCCTTTGCTAAAATACTGCATAAGAAAACACTTCTGCAGTATAAAATGAAGTCCTCCGTCAATGAGTATATTAAAATAAAAATAAGCTGATTCAGATACAAAAGCTGGATTTTTTTTCCCATTTTTATAATATTATCTTCTTTATGTTCTACATCTACTTATTCTAAGGCTTGGAGATATTTTTTTTTTTTTGCTTTTAGAAATAAAGTACAAGACAGCTTGTCTGCTACCAGTTTTATTTTTACACAATTTGCTCTTTGTAGTTCTCCATTTACTATCCTTGCAATTCTCATACCCAGCTCTTGCCTCAATGATACGGTGTTAAATCAGGGGGATATGAACAAAACACAATTCAGTCTCTCTGACTGACATGCAGTGACAGGACACGAGGCAACAAAACAAGCTGCAACAATGAAAATCCTAATTAGCTATTAGGGACAAAACAAATAAACAAAAAAAAGACCAAACCAACCTGCAGTTGAGAGGAGGTTGTGTTATCTCCATCCTTGGACATAACTCAAAATTCAGGGGCACGTGGCCCTAAACAACCTGGTCTCAGGCAGTCCAGTGGGGGGACTAGACCAGACAACCTCTCAACCTAAATTATTCCATTTTAGGAAGCCCGACACAATTTTATCAAGCAACTGAAACACGCCCCTTTTGATCAGTTAGACATAAGCTCTGAATTACCATTACCAGTGAAAGAAAATTCTACCCTTAACCTCCCAAGATCTACACGTCAGTGTTTACAGCTTTATTTGGACTTAACATTCCACTCTGCTCCTCAAACGAAGAATTCCCGTTGAACAGTGCAGTCGGCTGACAAAACACAAGCAGGACCCAAGTCTGCCGACATCCATTTACACGTTTAAGCACCACAGTTTCCACCAGGCAACCTCGTGACTGCAAGATGAGAAACCAAACTCCTCTACAGGCACGCACAGAGGCTAAATGCTGTATATTCTCTTCTGTGGTCACATCTCAGGCCTTCAAAGGAAAAAGCTGACTTCCAGATTGAAAAGCCCAGAATATCAAAGTTAAAGTCACTGTGAGATGCAAAGGACCTGTGCAGAACACTAGGCTCCCAAGATGAAGATATTTGCAAGCGTGGAACGAGGAAGGGGGCAGCAAGTAATGAGAGAGAAGTAAAAAACCACGAAGGAAGTCCCAGCAGACTGACTTCTGGTCTGATTAAAAGTCCCCATCAAGTCCGGGCTGCCGGGTTTCACAAGCACCACCAGGGACATTGCTGCTGGTCTCCACCAGTGCAAGCAACAAGGAAGTCGCTCCCTGCAGGCTCAGACAGATTGAGAAATCACTTTCTTCTGCATGATGGTTAAATCACCACTGGAAAGTCAGTTTTCCCTTAACTCTATTTCCCAGCAACCTTTTTGGAAGTTTTTATGAAAACAGTTTTATTGACACAATCACCTGGGTAAAAGAGCATGCAGAACAGGACGTGTTTATCAACCAGTTTTCACCCTTCTCCTGATTTCTAGTTAAGAACAAGCTCACGTTTCCTTCACACACACACCTGGAACTATGAGTTAAGCAGGTTTTATATTCCACTTTTTGACATCAGCCAGATTCTGGCCACAGCTCACATTCTCTGCTGCAGATGCCCAGCAGAAGTTACAGTGATGCGGCTGTTACGTATTCAAATTGCACTGTCATTTCAGATCAGTCTCCTTACTTCACCCTTCTAAGGAAGGATAATTAATTTTCTCCATTCTAGAAAAGGGAATTTTTATGCTTAAAATTACCCCCCACACAAAAAAACCTACTGCCTGGGTAGTGTGGAAAATCAGTCCAACCTTTTGCTTTTTGCACGGCTCATTCTTTCCACAGTCTGTATTGTTTGTCTCTTCTTTTATACCCTCTGAATAAGCTTAGTCATCCACTACACACACACACACACACACACACACGGGTGTATCGTCTGTGGAAAGCACTGAAAATAAGACAACACGGCCAAGCTCTGATATGAGCAAGCAGTCTTTTCTGCACAGGACACCAAGCACTAAACAATGCAAACGACTCTCCGGGGCTGTGCCTTGGGAACATCTGTAAAATCTCAGTAGAGGGGTTTTTCATTCTCAAAAACCGAATGAAAGCATCGCACACATATGAAAAAAACCCACCAGAAAACCTTGCCTGTAGACACTTTCAAAGGAGCATTAACTTGATACACAAGAGAACACCTACTGCTTTGCACCAAGGCCATGGTCAACTTTTTCCAGGCTAAGAATCACTAGTTTTAGTTGGATTAGTATCCAGTGTCGTGCTTTAAGTTCTGCTTCAGTCTCAGAAGCAAGTCTGAGCAGTTCTCCGCAATTTTAGGGAAGTCGGGAAGAGTGCTGTGAGGACAAGCATCCTTATTCGGCAAATAAGATGTTTTAGAACAAGACTTCTACTACAGGCACCTGCCTGAAAATCTGTTCTTCATGACAGAACTCAAAAAGAGCATTCCTGTTCAGAAGATAAAAAAGCCATCTAAGCACAGGGGCCTGATTTCACTCAGACCTCTGCTACCTTCAGTCCTGTTTTTCAGAACTACTGTTGATGGGATGAGAACGTGGCCGGCCGTATCAAACCGGCAAGATTTATGTAACCACTAACGATCCATTCCAACAGATGGACAAAGATCAATTCTGAAAATACTCCCCTGGGAAAAAAAAAAAAAAAAAATCCAGCATTTTTTCAGTTACAAAAAATAACAGCTGATCCTCCCCTGAGGAAACCACGATAGCCTCCTACAGGTTATAAATGATGTAATTCAGACTGCGTGTGGGAAGCTGAAAACATTTGTCTTTTAGCACAAGGTATCTATTTTAAAGCTGTCATTGCAATATTATCTATAACTTTAATTAGCTGAGAAAGCTCTTCACCAGTCAAACCACTACATTTACATGCAAGTCTACACCCCCTTACCACCCCTGTCTTCCACGTCAGCTTTTGGATATAGCCGTCCCGGTGCACACAACCTCGCACGAGGCAGAGCTCCTCCGCCGACCGCCCCTGCGGCACGAGGGCCAAACGCTACAGGTTGTACTTGCTTCCTCAGCTGAGCTACCTGTGAAAGTTACTCACATGAGCTACTCGAGATGATTAATTTGCAGCTTTCTGCAGTTTTTTGGCCGTACTTGCACCTCGGCTGTTTCTGCAAATTCCACAGGCTTTGTTAAAAAGGGACAGCTCCGATTTCATACTCAAGTTATCAAACAAGATTATTTATAAGACCTGAAATGTATGAAACCGTACAGCAATACAACAGAGCTGTGCTGGTAGAACAGCATTAGGTGTTCATTAGCCGTAGCATTACTTATTGTATCAAAAGGGAGCACAAAAGTACAAGCAGGAAAGAAAAAAAAACAACTTCGTGTACATTGTGGCAAAAGTCCAGATACAGAGAACTCTGCAGTAAGGATCCTTTAAAATTATCCTGTTTCCTGCCATCAGACAAATTACACCGCATTACCTTAAAAATAAGCAGCCTCAGCTTTCACTGCAAGTTGGTGACAGGAGCACGATTTTGATATACAGATTAAGAGTTCATACCAAAACAGAAGCCTCTTATTTTTAAAGGGGTCGCTGGGCAAACAGCTGGAGCTCAGGGAGATCTCCTGTCCGATGCACCTGAACTGGAACACACAGCCGAGGGCCCTGTGCTTGCAGAAAATCACAACGACTTCTTGTTCGACCGATCTGAACGTTACCATTTTGCTCTTTATGAGCCTCTGACTTCCTAATGAGGAAGTTCACATACTAAAGTACCAGCTAAATAGGTGTTTGTATTACACTAAAGCCTTTTCCAGATCATCTTGCAAAAATGCAAGCTACAACTGCTTTTAAGTCCTGCTTTTTTGGTTTAGACAACAAATATCCAATTGCTCTATGAGAAATTCTCTTTGTTATGATTTTGTTAGGTAGTGGTAACATCTCAAGGCATCTTGCTCTGCACCCTAAAATGAGAAGCGACTGACACATTGTACAAAGAAGCATTTACGATACGATGAACTTTGACTGTCTCTTCCTGTTTGAGGCGGAAGGGCAGCCTGCAGACACGCTGCCTGTTCTCAGGTTTCCTTTCGACCACATCACTGAACTCTCTTTCAACTTCTCACTGGAAAACACTGCATCTGAGGAGGTTTTTACAACAGAGACTGAAACAATACAACACTAGAAGGGAAAAAGCGGCGGCATGCAGAGCACTTACCAGTATCTTTTTGTCCTTTCAGTATTCCTACACTGTAGAGGAGAAAAAAAAATCCCACCCCTTCAATCTTGTTTAAACCCAGCTGAAATCCACCAACTCCTTTAAAGCCCTAGCAACTGCCAGACTGAGTGCCTCTGCTCTGCTGCTTTCACTTCAGCTGTGGGTAGTGCCTCCTGACTCAAGTGGGGCTGGCTCTGCCTTGCGTAAGCCAGGGAAACACCGCTGTGCCACACACCATTGGCTGCAGTCAGAGCCTGCATCCCGCTCCCTGCTCCATAAATTCATCTATCTCTGGCCCCAAAAAGGAAAAAAGGAAGCAGAGGGTGTGCTGAGAAGGATCCTGCAGCCCAGTTCCCCTGCAGCTCTATGGATGAGGTTCTCTGAGAAACGCTGATGTATTTCCTTCTCTGTTTCTCTTACATAACTGTACCCATGCGTGCTGTACCTTCTTTCTTTTTCTTCTCTGTAATCATCACTTATTAGCCCAACCAGCTTTCCTCACCTCTCACACAAAAAGCAATTTCTCCAATACAGTGGCAATTAAACTCCTCGGGCATTGCTATCCTCATTTTCACTAACACCACAGAATTGGACACACCACACACCTGCAGATGCCACCGGCGAGTACCGGACTCCCACTGCCAGTGATGCTGTGACAGCTCATTTCTGTAGGATGCATGTTTAGAAAGGCAAATCCACATGTGCCAGACCAGGTGCTGAGCTCATTTCTTATCCCACTAACATCAAAATCACTGCATCACACCAGGGGGAGGCATAATTTAAATGTCTGAGCCATAAGATGGTGATCAAGTTATCACAGATTCCAAGTTGACACCTCTTCAAATTGATCACGCAAATGCTCCGAAGCTGCTGCAAGCAGGATACAACACCTCAGCTTAACCTTTACACCCAGTTTTACACCACAGGTGTAGCAGGGCAAGGTGTGCATTTTCATCTCGGCTCAAGCGATGTAACTGCAGGATGACATCTGACATCTCCAAGTTCTACTGGGGACTATTGCTCATGTTCCTGCTGTTCCTTCCTTGGCTTGCCACCTCGATTTCACAAGCACAACTTACTGAACTGTTTCCCCCAATCTGACCACTTTTTAAAAATCAGTTTACCTGCTCAGTTGTTTTTCAGCTGGATCCATTTCCCAGTCGAGTTCCCGGCACGGCTGTGTGGCTGCACCAGTAGAACCAACAGCAGGAAGGGCAGGCGCATCGCTTGGTGACACTCCAAGCTGAGCACTGTCAAACGAGCTTTTTGTTCGTTATGCCCTAACACGGCCCAAGCTGCAACTCCACATAAGTCAGCTTCACTGCTGAGAACACGGTGAACGCAGACCTGTTCTCTCTTCTCAGCCCGTACTCCGCAGCCGACCTTCTCCTAAGTAATACCGTAAGGCGTCCTGTCACAGCATCTGCTCACCTCCCTGGAAAACCAGACCTCAGAACACCTTGCCATAGGATGTTCTGGATAATAAGCCTATAGAAAGGCTCAAAGACACTTTTTTTTTCTCTCCACCTCCTGTCATAGACTACTAAGCACAATGATACCACTTTGCTCCACAGAAGTGACTGAGCCACAGCTGCTGAACACGGAGAAGTGCTTGGAGAAACATCGATGTAAAGGTGTTCCCTTGTTCCCCTACTCTTCTGGCCACCAAAACCACCCCAGGCTACGGAACACTGATACGAGATGTTATGGTCATTATCACAGCTATCAGATTAAGAAGCCAGTAAACAACTATTTCAACCCAAATAATTTATCTGTTTGGGTTTTTTTTTTTTTCTGTAAACCCACTACACCTGTGCAAGTGAGAGTACAGGAACCTTCTGAATCAATCTCATCAGTAAAGCCAGACACTCATCAAGTCACAGCTTAAGTTAAAATTGAGTCCTCCTCCCAGCCAAAAATCAATGGCCTCACACTACTGGCACATGAATCTAGCTTTTCCACTGGTAACTTGCAGAACCTTAAAATGGCCCTTTTTCCTGGCATGGAAAAGTTGTTCAACTCCATCTGCCCCCATTATCCCAAAGTATTTTATACTTCACCCTGGCCTATACAAGGTTCACAGCTTTAGTACTGTTTTAATCAGGGCAAACGGTTTGGTTTTGTTGTGTGGGTCTTTTTCTTTTTTTTTTTTTTAACAAGACAAACACAAACCCACACATCAGGACTGTATCAGTATCACTCAACGCACAGATACAGCACAAGAGTACAAAAGGTGCTCTGTATTCAGGTATTTAACTGTACTGATACGTCACATGGGTACGAGCACTCCTGGGCTGCATTACTCTTCTCACACAAGCTGTAACACTTGAGCTGTACCATTTCAAAAGCGTTCACTCTGAAAAGCAGAACTTAAAGACTAATTTGCTTTTAGGCCTCCTTTATTTTCTCATTTTACAGGTGCCACGGTTCAGAGTCAAGGTTAATAAGGCTTGTGGTTTACTTTTTGCTGCAGCTCCATAAGAAGCCCCAGCGTGAGGAGTGGCAGGCGGCTGTGCCTTCTGCTGCCCAACCCAGCCTCCCACAGAGCAAAGCTTATCTCTACACCCCACCTGCATTCACCTGAGTGACCCACGGTATTCTGGAGCCACCAGGGAAATAAACCCCACAATGCCCTTCCATAGGTAACCATGCTCCATCTTAAAGCAGGTTTTTTAGGGTTTATGTTGCCCCTGGCCACAGTGCGACACGGCTGTCTCTGAACCTCACCCGACAGTTGGAACCACTTAGTTCCTCTGCCCGTGTTTACTAAAAGCCATGCTCTGCTCATCCGTTCTTGTGTCAACACTGTCCCTCACTTTCACTAAGAGGAGGGTTTAATGATTTCCACTCCACACAAGAACCGTGCTCTGCCTGGAGGACTGGACGCAAATGCCTCCAGCACGCTGTCGCTAGGCAAGCTACCCGGTATCTCCTGGAGCAGAGATGCTGCCGACTATGCCACACGAAAACAACGAAATCTGTAGCACTGCTAATTTCATGAAGTGATGCTTAACTGCAGGGGAGGTTCTTCCCTTGAAGTTGTTAGCGAAATAAAGGGCTGTATCGTCATGTTCTTCTATCTGACTCACGAGCAGATGCTGTACAGTTTGATATAATTACGTGATTTCACATGACATTCAAAACGAGCTTTGAAGAGGAATGCATTTCTAGCTGCATCAGTTAAAAATCAGCCTTGCAGATACCGGCAAAGAGCAACGCTATGTCCTCCAGCATGCAGACAGCCAAGAAGCCCAGATGCCACATCTTCATCCTGGCGTTAACCTGATCAGTGTATTACTGTTAAATTTCAAGACAGACATGTCAAACATTTCTGTTGATAATTTTATTGAACAAAACAGGCAGAGAGTGGAATAAAAAACCCACGCTGGGTAAGTGCCTGAAATTGTCGCACACAGGGTAGTGAGGAACAGCGACTGAAGGGAATACTGAGAAGAGAGCAAAACCATGGAAGACTAGAACCTGCAGTGGTCCCAAGGGGAAGTACGTTTGTACACTCAAATACTGAAGGCTGACCATGCACTACACACCACGTTAACTCCTGGTTCCCACGAAGTCAGAGGCTGGACTCTGACCAAAGCCATCAACACCCAAAAAGCACAAATATTTCCCGCACTGCAGCACTAACACCGTTTGGGGCTTCCCAGGCATCTAAGCACAGGTGCACCAGGGAAGCAGACTGCCTCGGCAGCCCCTTTCGTCTTGCACCGTGTTATGTCAAATGTCATCTCTGTCCACGGAGTTCCCAAGTTACCCAGTTCATAAAGTCGTCCTACAGTGTTTTAAGAAGACTGGGGGTGGGGGGCAGAGGGAAGCAGCCTGAAGCCAAGAACATGCTAATTAGAGTATACAATAGAAACGTTAAATAATCTGCAGGAAGAGGAGGAGGGAAGGAAATGACCTAATCTACTGCACTACTGTGTGGTGCCCTGTGGCAAGAAGTACGAAAATTCTTGTAAGGGCCAAGCAAACAAAGGTCCATTGTTGCAGCGGCAGCTCTCGGAGAAGAACGCTTTCTGACATCTCACCGAAGTTTCTGTAGCACGAAGGGTAGATGGCGTTGTATGAACTCTTCCACACTGATCACTGCTGGAAGGGGTGGGAGGGACTAATTAAGATTTGTAGGGCAGATGAGTAGAAGATCTGAGTAGAATCTCAGGTTCTTTAGGCACAGCAAACTCTCTTTCAAAGGATTTGCCAGTTCTAAAGTGTCAGTCATCCCACAACCATGGTGATCCTCAGGCAACCGTGGAGCAATTCGTGCTGAAGCTGCAGTAGCCTAGTTACAGAGACAACCAACCACCAGGCTGCAAAGAGGCACTTCCCTGACACGAGTCATACTGTGCCTTCGGACAAACCTAATGAGCATTTCTCGCAAAGTCCTATTCTACCCTTAGGTCTTTGTGTGCCTGCTCCTCAGGTACACCAGGGAAGCCCTTCTACTCAAAGACAGCATGTTACCATCCATGCCTGTCCCGCAGACTGAAAAAAAAACCCCAACAAACAACAATTTACCCTTTGCCTTCAACCTGATTTCTGCTTTACTCAGCACACAGAGCTTCTAGCACTGAACCAACTCAGGTTTTTTCAGCTTCCTAGGGCAGAGATCCCATCAAGAGAAGGGCACGTGAGATTTCAGATCCTCGGACTGAGACCATATCTCAGCTAACTTTACTGCAAGCTGAAGGAATCTCAGGCAGGAATAAAGAAATACCTGCAGGATGGCAGGACTACTGACTCTAACAGCTTATGTACTTCCAAGTGACCGAGTCAACTGACTTCCTCATACGGGACTTCAGAGAATTACAGGATGATTCTGGAGGTCATTTAGTCCAACCTCCTGCTCAAAGCAGGAGTTGACTTCCCAGATATCAAGCTATTAATGCAAGAGACTGGGAGCTTTGACATGTCCTCTCAAGACATGGATTCCCCGAGGAAATAGGAAAGGCACGCAGAGTGTTGGAGAGCTGCACATGACCAGCAGTCCTGCAGACCAGTCTGGAGCTTTGTGTTTACTCACGGCTTTCCTATCTCTATTTGATTAAATATTTGCTTAAAATAAAACAACTGGCAAAAACGACTGCAGAGAGCTTGCTGCAGCCACACCAAAGATTGTTTGGGCT